TGTTCACAAACATCTAGATGTGTTTTGTGGCGTGTTCATCACCTCCATAGACAGTGTTCACAAACATCTAGATGTGTTTTGTGGCGTGTTCATCACCTCCATAGACAGTGTTCACAAACACCTAGATGTGTTTTGTGGCGTGTTCATCACCTCCATAGACAGTGTTCACAAACACCTAGATGTGTTTTGTGGCGTGTTCATCACCTCCATAGACAGTGTTCACAATCACCTAGATGTGTTTTGTGCATTTCTCGCTCGCTTGTCAACTTGTTGTATAGAGAGATCTAGGGTTAACATCAAAGTAATTTATTATGGCCAAACCTGCATGACTTGAAAATTTGTTTATTAAAACTTTCCGAGATTTTTACTTGAACATGTATACAGAGCTTGAATGTGTTATATTAAAATGATTTTGGAGCCTCACCACATCCAATCATGCTTTACCTGATGATCATGACAATACACTTGCATAGTGATTCCCATTATGATCAATTTGTGTTGTTTTGATGTTATATTACCCATGAATCTTGGAGGTATGTATGTATGAGCCTCTCAAGTTGACTGTCTGCTGTGGCCTCGTCTGTTCAGCTGTGTGTTAGTTGAATAGAATTGGAGTGGGACATATGACATATGATTTTAACCAACACTTACTTACATTATGATTATACAGCTTAGAGAAAAAAAACCATGATTAATAAAAGGTCATAATTAGATTTATATTTTAGTTTTTTAGTTCAATTATTAAAAAACTTTAAGTTAGATTTATGTACAGTAAACATTATTAAAAATTATTCTTACAAAGGACCAGATTATGCTCTAAACCCACTGGGGGTGTCGGACCTCTTGCCTGTTGAGTACGTCATGAAATTTTGGTGATTTCAAACTGATTTTATGTATGAAAGCTATGAACATCCAAACTGTTTATAACCTTTAGAGAAACTCCTTTCAAATATATATCTTTGGTTTAAAGAAAGTCACACCAGTACTATTCCACCTCTATATTTGTTTTAAATGTGTATATATTGCTTTACTATATATATATTAGCAGTTTATTATATTAAATCATTGCAGATAATCACTTGGGAAGTTTCAAATGTTTGTAAAACATTTACTGATCTTGTACATTGTTTGCTTGTAGATCCAACTTACGTGGCCAAGCCATTTCCAGGTTATTCTACTTCGACATCGGAAGATTCCCATACAACAATTAAAAGTAGCAAGTTTGAGGAGCAAAGCCGTAGTGACGTACTTAGTAAAACATTTCCAAGGGGAAATAAACGGGGGACACGTGATGTTTCCCACGGTGTGAATAAGACGTATCGTTGTGTTGTGTGTGGCAAAGAATTCCATAAGAAAAGTGCTCTAAAAAAACATGAAAAACTACACACTGGTACGAAACTGTACGGTTGTGTCGTGTGTGGTAAAAAATTTGGAAGAAATGGTGTCTTAAAAATACATAAGAGGATACACACGAGGGAGAAACCGTACAGTTGCGATACGTGCGGCAAGGAATTTTGTAGAAAAAGTGACCTAAAAATACATTTGAGAATACACACCGGAGAGAAACCATTTAAATGTGTTGTTTGTGACAAAAACTTTGGAAGTAGTAGCGACTTGAAAAAACACGAAAAGATACATACTGGGGAAAAGCAACACGACTGCGTGGTATGTGGAAAAGAATTTGGAAGAAATAGCGACCTCAGAATACATCAGAGAATACATACTGGGGAGAAACCGTACAGTTGTGTAGTGTGTGGTAAAGAATTTGGAAGTAATAGTAGCCTGAAAAAGCATGAAAGGGTACACACTAATGTAAAAAAATACAGCTGTGTAGTGTGTGGAAAAGAATTTGGAAGAAGTAATAACTTCAAAATGCATCAGAGGACCCACACTAGGGAGAAACCATACTTTTGTTTGATGTGCAACAAAGAATTTTCAAGTAATAGTGATCTTGTAAAACATGAGGGGACGCACGGTGCGGAAAAAAACATATGTTTGTGAAATATGTGGTTGAAAATTTCGAATGAAAAGTTACCTAGAAAGATGTCGTAGAACTAGCAATGGAGAGAAACCGCATATTTGTGAAATCTGTGTTGAGAAATTTTGAATCGAAAAACGCACACCAGAGAAAAGATATAAAGTATAATTTTAGTAAGCAAAAACTTGTATCAACAAGGGATACGTGGTCAATTAAAAACTGTACATTTGTGATGTCCGTTGTAAGAAACCTTTTGTAAAATTCATTATTAAAATGTACACTGTCCGTACAAGAGAAGATTGACATTTCTGTAGTGAATGTGGCCAAGAACTTTGTTTTTAAATATATGAAAGAACATTAGTGAACACACACACACACACACATACACACAAGGGGGGATGACTGTTACTATTTTGGTTTTGGTGAAAGAGAAGTTATGCACTGTATAAATTGAAAAAAAAAAGTCGTATTACCCACAATGCAAGTGTATTAAACCACCATGTAGTGTATGTCAAAGGAGTTTGAACCAATAGTGACCTTAAAAGCACATAAAAAAATTAATTGTGGGGGAGAAAAACATAAAATGAAGTAGTATGTGGCAAAGATATTGAAAGGAAATGAAATGTTAACCTAAACCACAATATTCGATTCATTACAAATAGGTGATAATACAGTAATTTAAGTGTGTGTGTGTGATATAGAATTCACACATGGAGAAACATTACAGTTAGAATGATTGAGTTGAGGAACTTTCAGGTGATGATCTATATAAGCCGTTAATCTAAGTAACAAAATTATGTAGTATGATTTAGGAAAATATTTAAATTACGTAAAACATTAACTTGTAACATGTGTTGGTCGTTAGGTAAGGTAAAAATCTGTGAAAATACCAGATTTTTTTTTATTTTTTTTTATGCTCAATTTTCTGTATAATTCAAGATTTGTACAATAATAGTCTTTAGTTTTTTTCGTGACAATTATTTATTACGGTAATTCAAACATACGTAAGAAGTAGTTTCCTTTGTAGTTTTCTACAATGATTAGACAAACATCTCTGCACAGTTGATATATTCAACAGCATCGTTATTAGCGTCAACCTATTGTTGTATTAAAAGAAGGTTATATTAATAACACGGGAAAGTTACAAATGACTGATAAAAGTTAATACTGTGTGCGAAAATAATACGTTCAAAAAACAACCAGGAAGAAAGTTGACATTTAAAATCTTTTACTTGCCTCGCATTGTAAATAATCCTCCCAAATTTACTGTTGAACAGTCTTGCTGATTGTGGAAGAATTTGTGTGATGTCGTAAATGATAATAATGTATTATTTTTTTCCATTTTAACTATTACAAGTAGTAATAATATTGGAGGAAGTAAATGACGTATAACTAAATGTGAAACTTCAGCACGGCTGTCTTATTTTCTTAGGAGCACGACCAACTCAGTACTATAAGAATGTGTTAAGTGTAGTACAAACCTAATTTAGCTTAAACATTTGTTTGTGTGTTCTTTTGGTATTGTCGAGTGTATTTTATTAAATACTTTCAAATGTTTATAGTGTGTTTAATTCTAAAAACTTCATGTGGATTATATCTTTAAAAAGAAGAAAATTGAACAAGAGTGTAGGTAAGAGAGACACTTCTATGTGTGTGTGACAACATTAATCTTGGCACAGTCCCAACAGAACACGGACAGCCTAGTGGAACCCTATTTTTCATGAATTATGATTATAATTTTGATGGGGGCAATGTTAACGGTGTTGTGGTAGAAAAAAAATATATTGGTCTTCTTATTGATTACTGTTTTAAACCATTCAAGCACTGTGCTGTTGTTTATAGTAGAGCAAATGGTGTTTTAGGTTGTATCTATAGAAATATTGAATACGAGTCTTAAAGAGGTTATAATTTCCTTGTATAAGTCGCTGATTAGACCACATTTGAGTTCAAACTTTGGCTCCTTACCTCAGGAAGTGCATTGAATTATTATTATTCATGTATTTTAACACGACTTGCGTATTAATATTATTTATTTTTACTTTAACTTTACTCATCATTCACAATAACTGGCAAACGAGAGAGTTAATCTTATCGTTGCTGGAGCAGGCCAAGTAACCACATCATCAAAGTATAATACTACATGTTTAATTAATCTTATCGTTGCTGGAGCAGGCCAAGTAAACACATCATCAAAGTATAATACAACATGTTTAATTAATCTTATTGTTGCTGGAACAGGCCAAATAACCACATCATCAAAAATTAAACATGTAGTATTATACTGTGTTTACTTGGCCTGCTCCAGCAACAATAAGATTTTCATCAAAGTATAATACTACATGTTTAATTAATCTTATTGTTGCTGGAGCAGGCCAATTAAACACATCATCAAAGTATAATACTACATGTTTAATTAATCTTAT